GGAAATGAGTCGGTAGCACATACTTAGACTATTCCACGTCTTTTTTCAGTATCTCCAACTTAATTTTTTTAAATATTGAACTTTGCTTTTTTTTTTTTCCTCTTCGAAATTTGAGCAGCCTAGCAGCCTAGGCTGCCTGGCAGCCTAAATAAAACTAAGAATAGTACAAACATGAAAACCGTCGGAAATACATTAGCAGCACTTCTTTAGATCATTCCACGCCTTTTTCAATATCGTGATCTTTATTTTTTAAGATGTTGAACTTTATCGTAACATATTTTTTTCATTCTGACGCTTCGAAATTTGAAGTTAGCAGCCTAGCAGCCTAGCAGCCTAACAGCCTGGCAGCCTAACAGCCTAAAGAAAAGTACGGATAATTCAAACATGAAAACCGACGGAAATGAGTCGGTAGCACATACTTAGACTATTCCACGTCTTTTTTCAGTATCGCCAACTTATCTTTTTTAAATATTGAACTTTGCTTTTTTTCTTTACTCTTCGAAATTTGTGAAGCTATCAGCCTAACAACCTGGCAGCCTAGCAGCCTGGCAACCTAGCAGCCTGGCAGCCTAGCAGCCTAGCAGCCTAGCAGCCTGGCAGCCTAGCAGCCTGGCAGCCTGGCAGCCTAAAGAAAACTGCGGATAATACAAACATGAAAACCGACGGAAATGAGTCGGTAGCACATACTTAGACTATTCCACGTCTTTTTTCAGTATCGCCAACTTAATTTTTTTAAATATTGAACTTTGCTTTTTTTTTTATTTTACTCTTCGAAATTTGAGCAGCCTAGCAGCCTAGCAGCCTGGCAGCCTAAATAAAACTAAGAATAGTACAAACATGAAAACCGTCGGAAATACATTAGCAGCACTTCTTTAGATCATTCCACGCCTTTTCAATATCGTGATCTTTATTTTTTAAGATGTTGCCAGGCTGCTAGGTTGCCAGGCTGCTAGGCTGCCAGGTTGTTAGGCTGATAGCTTCACAAATTTCGAAGAGTAAAGAAAAAAAGCAAAGTTCAATATTTAAAAAAGATAAGTTGGCGATACTGAAAAAAGACGTGGAATAGTCTAAGTATGTGCTACCGACTCATTTCCGTCGGTTTTCATGTTTGAATTATCCGTACTTTTCTTTAGGCTGTTAGGCTGCCAGGCTGTTAGGCTGCTAGGCTGCTAGGCTGCTAACTTCAAATTTCGAAGCGTCAGAATGAAAAAAATATGTTACGATAAAGTTCAACATCTTAAAAAATAAAGATCACGATATTGAAAAAGGCGTGGAATGATCTAAAGAAGTGCTGCTAATGTATTTCCGACGGTTTTCATGTTTGTACTATTCTTAGTTCTATTTAGGCTGCCAGGCAGCCTAGGCTGCTAGGCTGCTCAAATTTCGAAGAGGAAAAAAAAAAAAAAAAGCAAAGTTCAATATTTAAAAAATTAAAAGTTGGAGATACTGAAAAAAGACGTGGAATAGTCAAAGTATGTGCTACCGACTCATTTCCGTCGGTTTTCATATTTGTATTATCCGTAGTTTTCTTTAGGCTGTTAGGCTGCCAGGCTGCCAGGCTGCTAGGCTGCTAGGCTGCTAACTTCAAATTTCGAAGCGTCAGAATGAAAAAAATATGTTACGATAAAGTTCAACATCTTAAAAAATAAAGATCACGATATTGAAAAAGGCGTGGAATGATCTAAAGAAGTGCTACTAATGTATTTCAGACGGTTTTCATGTATGTACTATTCTTAGTTTTCTTTAGGCTGCTAGGCTGCTAGGCTGCCAGGCTGCTAGGCTGCTAGGCTGCTAGGCTGCCAACTTCAGGCTGCTAGGCTGCCAACTTCACGAACATACAACAATCTAAATATTATTGTGTTTAATTCTTAACTTAAAATTTCTTCTCTTAAAACCCGAAAGAGCTAGAGCTGAGATATTTTGCATGAAGCATCTTCCAGTAAGTGTCTACCAAGTTTCTTCAAATAAAAGCCCTAGGGTCAAAATTGGCCCCGCCCCGGGGGTCATTGATTTTCCTAATATGTATATAGTAAAAACTTAAAAAAAACTTCTTTTTAAAATCCCAAAGAGCTAGAGCTGAGAAATTTTGCATGAAGCATCTTTAAGTGGGTGTCTACCAAGTTTGTTCAAATAAAAGCCCTAGGGTCAAAATTGGCCCCGCCCCAGGGTTCATTGTTTTTTTATGTATATAGGAAAAACCTAAAACATTTTCCTTATATGTATATAGTAAAAACTTAAACTAGAAATGTGTCGTTACGCCACGGATGCCCCCGCATTCAGCTTAAATTTCAGATGTTGTAATATTAACTTCCAAGTTCGTTTGCACAAATTATTTTTTTCATTTTAAGTTCAAAGGCCTTAAAACTATTCAATGTTTACACCAACCATTTTTATATAAATTTCAAGGAACTGAAACTAATCAGTGTTAACCTTTTGTAAATTGCATATTGCATATTTGTAGCCAAAATAATGACTACATACACTTCCACAAAAGTATGAAATTCAAAATTTTTCCAACATTCAAGATAGATAACTTTATCCAAAATCATCAAACCATGATAAAAATTCGAACTTGACCAGTGTATTATTATTGCATGTCCATATTTTAAATGTTAGTTGAATATGTACGGAAACTGAAAATTTCTTCTTTTTTTTCAAAGTAAAAGGGGCATTACTCTGCCAAAAAACATCAAACCATGACCAAATTCGAATTTGACCTGCGTATTCCTTTGACGTATTTATATGTCAAATTTGAGTTAAATGTGTAATACAGTTGGGGAGATAATGAACGAAAACTGAAAATTTCATATTATTTTCAAAGTGTAAGGGGCATAACTCTGCCAAAAATCATTGAACCATGACCAAATTCAAGTTTGACCTGCGCATTTCTTTGACGTATCCATATGTTAAATTTGAGTTGAATGTGTACAACTGTTGGGGAGATAATGAACAGAAACTGAAAATTTTTCAAAGTGAAAGGGGCATAACTCTGCCAAAAAACATCAAATCATGACCAAATTCGAACTTGACCTGTATTTTCTCATGATATATCCATAAGTCAAAATTGAGTTGAATGTGTGCAACCGTTACTAAGATAATGAACGGAAACTGATGACGGAATGGCAGAATGACGGAATTCGGAACCGGGTAACATTATGGCGGGGACAAAAAAATCTTATATAAAAAAACTTAGAGATATTAAGCATGAAACATCTTCTAGTAAGTGTCTACCAAGATTGTTCAAATAAAAGCCCTAGGGTCGAAATTGGCGCCGCCCCAGGGTTCATTGTTTTTTCTTTATGTATATAGGAAAAACCTAAAACATTTTCTTTGAGCTAGAGGTTAGATACTAAGCACGAAATATCTTCTAGTGAGAGTTTACCAAGTTTGATCAAATAAAACCCTTAGGGTTAAAATTGGCCCCACGGGGGTCATTGTTTCTCCCTTTATGTGTATAGCAAAAACTTTAAAAAATCTTCTTTTAAAAACCCTATAGAGCTCGAACTTAGATATTTATCATGAAACATCTTCTAATTAGTGTCTATCAAAAGCCCTTGGGTTAAAATTGGCTCCGCCTGGGTGGGCCTATATACAGCTGAGCGATTTCAGGGCCATCATGGCCCTCTTTTTCAGGCACAATTACTGGTGGAGGAAGACCTCAGGTGCCCTGCTGTACATCATTTCAGGCACAATTACTGGTGGAGGAAGACCTCAGGTGCCCTGCTTATTAATTACTGGTGGAGTAAGACCTCAGGTGCCCTGCTTATTTCTGGTGGAGGGAGACCTCAGGCCTCCTTCTGTACATTATTTCAGGCACAATTACTGGTGGAGGAAGACCTCATGTGCCCTGCTGTGCATTATTTTAGGCACACTTACTGGTGGAGGAAGACCTCAGGTGCCCTGCTTATTACTGGTGGAAGAAGACCTCGGGTGCCCTGCTGTACATTATTTCAGGCACAATAACTGGTGGGAAGACCTCAGGTGCCTGCTGAGCATCATTTCAGGCACAATTACTGGTGGAGGAAGACCTCATGTGCCCTGCTTATTACTGGTGGAGGAAGACCTTAGGTTCCCTGCTGTGCATTATTTCAGGCACAATTACTGGTGGAGGAAGACCTCAGGTGCCCTGCTGTGCATTATTTCAGGCACAATTACTGGTGGAGGAAGACCTCAGGTGCCCTGCTGTGCATTATTTCAGCACAATTACTGGTGGAAAGACACTGCTGTGCATTATTTCAGGCACATACAGACACAGGAGCAGAACCACAAGTAAGATAGATAGCTTCCTTATATAAAAAATCCAAGACTTTGGCAGGACTTGGAGTCACAGTGAAGGGCAAGTGTTTTAAGTCAAAGACTTAACCACTTTGCCATAGACAACCCTGTAAATATATATTTGACTGGTTTGCTTTTATGCATAGCCCACACAAATGGTAAACATGGGGGCAAGAGTTGGGAGTTACAACAATTATTATCTTTTAGTTCTACTCTGTCCCTTCATGGGTGTTTGTACCAAGATAAAGATAATCAAAGGAAGAATGACAAAGTTGTTATCTGGAAATCATGTCAGACAGGCAGATGATGAACAAAATGGACTTCTCATTTTTTATTTTTTTTAAATTGTAGGTTGAAAGAGGACAATGGCCTTAAACAGTTTATATATTCAGTACCTAATCTGTTAAAAAGGCCGTAAGTATACACATTTTCAGGGGCATAAAAATGAGCAAGACAGACTACAAATACAAAGAAACACTTGCATTGGTCTAAATACAAATTTATTGCACTAATCACCACAAATTAGAAAATCAAAATTTTATCTTGTATATATTAGTCATTTCTTTACTCCAACATTATACCAAGTTTATAACCATTTAAGATACTTAAGTGTTATGCACTATCAAGTTTCGTATGTCATTTGTAGTCAAATGAAGAAAAAAATCTCAATTGTATCCTAGTATATCACTGCATTTAATGATAAAATATTGCTCAAGTACAAGATCAATTATAAGACATTAAGAAAAATATCACTAAAAGAACATGCATAAATCATACTTTTTAACAGTGTTTGGTACCAACTTTAACCAGTACATCAGTAGAAATCCCACTTTTATTCTGGATCCAAAAGTAGCATTCTTAATATGCAATAAGTTTAAGGCTCCCACAGTAACAGCATTTGTGTAAGGAAAAAACAAATATAAAACATTAAGTTTTTTTACCTTCATGATGACGCTCAGAAAATAGAATTTTTTTAAACAAAAAAAAACAAAAAACCTTAGTGTATGAAATCTTGGACAAGTATCTTGGTAGAAATTGAAGAAAATAATTAGGTTAACAGTTATTGATGTTAAACACAAATTGATATTTCATAAAACTGACACAAAATTATGAAATTTTAAAATATAACTACAGTAAACAGCCTTTACTAAATACTTTTCACATAAATAATCATAATTTCTAATTTCTATGCTTAAATCTACATCTATACAGAAAATTTTAATTGTTTTATCTTGAACAAATTCACATAAAAGTATGATGAAGAGTCAATGTTCTTAAATTACACAAAGGCCAAGGGAGAGACAAATAATTGTCTTTATAGACAAGTGGTATTTATTTGGAGGTAACTTTATTCCTCATAATCAATGAAAAGTTAGCAAAAAGTAGCCTTTATTTGCAGGGTTATTTTTTCAAAGGTCACCTTTAAACACAGGTTTGATTGTAAAGGGTTTATATTTCAATATTCATACATTATAAGCGTATTTCAATGCTAAATATTAAGTCAATATCCATAACATTTTGCAGTTTCTTCCAATATCTTGAGTTTCATCGCAAATTAATTAAACCTTATTCACAAGTAACTTTGAATACTTTTTTCCAAAGTCAATTTTATTCACAAATAAATACATAAATAAGTACAATTTTGAAACAAATTAACAGCATACATTTATAACTTCTCTCGTTCATAAACATTTCCAGTCTACTTCATTCATAAACAATACTACTTCATTCATAAACAATTGTCATCTGATTCCAACCTATTTCATTCTGAAACAAATTCAAATTTGATTCCAGCCTATTTCAGTTCCAAACTAATCACATCTTACACCAGTTTGTTTCATTCATCAACAACTTTGATTCTGGCCTATTTATTCACAATTTCAATGTTGACATTAATCCAAACCTATTTCACTCACAAATTTAAATTACATTACACCTGATTTTATATGCATCAAAATTATAAAAAAAAATAGAATTCAAATATTTGAGAAGTCCTAAATCAATTAACAGTAAATACTTAAAATCACACTTTCCCAAGTACAATATTAATATAAATATTCTATCAAGCACATATTCACTTAGAAGTCTTGTACCCAATGTAACATTAGCTATACTGAAACAGGAATGGGACAGACTGTTGGTAACATTGAGTAAATGTCCACATTTGACTCTGGTTAACAAGTACAGTGTCCAAATCTGATAGATGTAATAACTATATTTAGCTCTCTACCATCTCAAGATTAGCTTCCTCTTCTAGTAAACATAACAGTTTGTTGATTTTGCTTATGCCCTCAATTTGCCGTACCATCTCAATAAGAACCAATAACTTCTTGATTCCTAACCATAAACTGTAAGATGAAATGGTAACATTAAAATAACTTTTTTTTAACCTTATCTTAATATATTAGCTCTGCAATTGTTGAAAGCTGTTGGCGTATGAAATGTCAAATTGTCATAAAAGTAGCAAACCAGTTATGGCATCGCACCAGTAAAGATAGTTTGGTCCCCGAAAGGCTCAAACCCGCAAGCTAAATAAGCTGGATAAAGTGGCAGGCACCTCTACAACTAGGTTACATCTTGCCTAAGTTGCCTTACACTTTAATTTTTCAATTATTACCTAATACTTAGAACTATGGTAATCTGCATGTATAACTTCATGGATTTAAATATGATAATCAAATTAACATTACACTTTGCTGGTAAATGATGAAGTTAGAAGTTATGTACATTAAAGAATTTTACAATAAATATAACAAACCTTTTCCCGTTGATCCTCTTGGCGAGCAATGTAGTTTCTTCTGGTGTAAACACATCTATATTTTCTACGACGGACATTAATTGTTCGCCACTGGATATATTAGATACATGGACAACATTGTTAAACACATTTAACAATTCCATTTCTTGTAGCACGTCCTTCCTACTGGCGGTTGCTATAACCAACAATTTATGACCCTGTATATAAAACAAAAATATACAAATATAATCTTTGAACAATTGGTCAACAAGGTCAACAGTTTGAACACTCATGCAGACTGAACGAACGCTAAAGTAATCACTGCTCTATTTTATCTTAATAATTATTCCCAGTAATCAAAATATACAATACAAGTTCAAATAAAAACAGTATTCCTCTATTCACCAATGAAATATTTAACCCCTAAACTTCTAAAATGAACGTGTCCTACTACCATTTTAGGAACTGTCCATTTTATGGATATCAAGATGAAAGTATAGTGTTTAGTTAGCAAAAGTTAACTTTTTCACTGTAAAGAGTCTGGTGATAATGTGCAAGTGAGCACAGTAGCCTGACTTTACACTTGTGGCAATAATTTGTCACTTTCAGTTCCAGCAAAGTGTCAGGTAATTCCTTGAACTTGTTGTAAACCTAATATAACGACCTGTACAATCTGTTCAAATGAAATTTATCCAATTAAAATTTATATAATTTTTAGATATTTTTGCCAGTAATAAAACTAGCAAAAAACTTTCCAAATTAACTAACACAAGTATAAGTCTAAGGTCAGGCCATTCTGCATATTCATGCAGTCAAAGCAGGTGTTTTTACAGTTGACTATGTTTAGAACTGCCATAAAATCTGAAAGTAAGTGTCACATTAAACACTGACTTCGAGGCTCCTTTAGGGCTTGTTTAAGTGAAGCTATACATATATATGTATGATACATGTATATACTTACATGGGGAGGTACTTTCTTCATCAGCACAAGAAGAGCTTGAAGAACTAAATTTGAAAATCTTGGTCCAATTGGAACATAATCTGAAAGTAAAACAACAACAAAATATAAACATACATATATTTCTACCTGTAAGCTATTCATATTAATAGTACTTAGATTATTATATGTCATTAAACAGACATAGGTCAGTGTGACTTTCTAGCTGTACTGATGTGCCCCTCCATGCAATATTTCAAGTATGAACAAGCACCTGAGTAGACAATCTTCACTAAAATTGAAAACCTTCAATGATTTCATATATGAAATATATCCTCTGTTGCTTAACTTCTGTTGTTTTTTACGACTGTAAAGATATATGCAACAACTTTTATCCTATTATACATTTGTCGACATGGAATAGACCAATAACTTGTGTGCAAGATTTCAGATCATTCACTCACTCTGCTTTTGCAAAATAATTGTGAAAAACGACCCAAAATTGGTAAGCCTTTCACTTAAATTGGGCTAATAATGAAAGTTTGATTTTCAATTTATTTTGCTTATATTCTGTACTTATCTTTGCATATTTTTCAATTTTAAGATCTCGATTTGATCTAACTTCATGATTTTTAGGGTTTTGGATCTTAGTGGAAATTCTTTACCATACAGAAGTAAGATGCAAACAATGCTTACCTAACAATCTTTCTATATCATCAACAATGACACAACTAAGGGGAGATTTGTAGGCATCATCAAATATCTTTTTAACATGTTGACATTTCGCTGCCTCATGGAAGCCTATCATATTCTCTGGCGTGCAAACTTTGACGAATGGAAAGTCTGAGTTCTTCGCAATCTGCGCTGCCAGGGCGGATTTACCAGAACTTGCGGGACCTAGATAAAAACACAGCAAAAGATAATTTACATGTAAATTCCTTTAAATGGTTTGAACATGGGTAACAAGATCTAGAAACAAGAAGGAACACTTAATACAAACACAGAAACTCTAAAATCTGACAAACAATGCAACAATTTTTTAAACATTTCTTAACAGATAAGCTAAGATGATTTTTACTAGCAGACTGGTGAATTGCAGGTTATACCAACAGTATCATGATGTGGGAGAATGATCAAATGGACTTGTATTTACAATATATCAGGCAGTACAATTGTATCTTGATAAAACTACTTATTAGTTCTTTCAGAATTTATTTTAATTTGAATAGGTAGGAAGCTGTAAGTTTAAAGTCACATTCTCAAATCTGTTCCTGGAGCCAAACGGTACTGAGCAATGACTTTTAGTTTCTTGCTCAAAGAAACATCAGCTTGCTCCTGCTCATACAGCAAACAATCTATAGACTATAGTAGTAGTTTGACATGTTAACTGATCTGCCACGCCAATGAGCTTCAGTAAGCTAAATACTCTCCTAACAAGAGAATTTAATCTGGCTGTCATACCTTCTAAACAAACAGATACAAGTGGTGTTCTTTCACTCACTCTACATTGAGAGATCAACAAATCACCATCTTCAAGCACGCGCTGTACTGGACTGCCCCAGTTTATTATACCATTGGATATAAACTTTTCAAACTCTTCCTTACTGCTTCCAAATGCCTAAACAAAATAATGACATCAAATTAAATAAAATAAATGAAAAGAAAACAGGTTAATCAAACCTTTCAAAGTTACTTTTTGGTAGGTATTATATGATAAGAGTCAGTCAATATGCTTCTCTAATCCTTAGTAAAATACCATTGAATGACAAAATAAAATATGCTAAGCTCCCTACTGAGCTGTGATATCATCTGAAATAATAAAACTGTTAAACACATTTAAAAATCTTATCTTTAACAAGTGTAACAAGAGGTGTCAGTAGAACAGCCTGCTTGACTATTCTCAAGTGCTTAATACTTGCTTAATAAGTGCTTAATTCTGGATAATTAAGAATTTTCAAAGTTAACACCCGCACCGATGTCAATGTCTTGGTGAGTCAATAACTTTCCCTATTCTTTGAATAGTTGAGCTAAATAAAAATTACTATTCCAAGCAGATACTTTAGAATTTTCTCCTCTTTCATAAATACTATTTCTACACACTGGCTATCTGAGACCAACATAATACAGATGAGATATTAAATCTGGACCAAAACTTACAGGTTTGACATCATGTTCTAGGGAATGTAAGAAGTCCTGTCTCGTCACTTTTAGTTTGGTGCCCGCTTCAGGGTCTACTTCTACTTTACTGGCAGCCTGTAAAATAGGGAGGGAACCAGTTATATATATAATAGTCCAACACAGTTATTTCTCTTTAATTTCATTAAAGGATAAAACGTCTAACAAAGTTGTATCTGAATACTGATAAGATTTGATCAAGCTAAGTTGGTGAACATTTCATTATTTAGAATTTTTAAAAAAAAACCACCCTCAATTGACTTCTTTAAGTAAAGCAAAAATTAAACAATGGGGACTGTCAATTTTTCCTGACATGAATGTTTCCAGTGGGCTTGTAAACATTTTAAATGTCATGCATCAAAATTAAATCAAGAAATGTCAAGTTTTATTGATGCCACTGTTTTTTTACATGGGTTTATGAAATTTGTGTATCTTATTGTATACATTTCTTCAAAAAGAAAAGATTGTGAAAATCACTATTTTTGGAAAATTCTTCTCTTCTAATAAAATGTCTTTTAGTTATACAATGAGTGCTCACCAAGCGTATTTTTCAATCCTGGCTGTAAAGACAACAGTATGAACACTTTGACTGTTAAAATTGAGTGGAATTAGACAATTTTTTCAGGCATACCTTGATAAGACGATTCATGGCCGTTGCCTGGGAACATCTTACAAGCCCTTCGATCTCAGCCCCGCTGAAATTCTTCGTCAATGATGCTAGCTCCGACAAATCAACATCATCCGAGAGCTTCTCATTCTCTGTCATCACACTGGTGTGAATTTTCAAAATCTGAAGACGGCCAGGTTCATCAGGAAGACCTGTATGGAAGTCATTTATCAATTACTTATCAAATTTGTAAAAATGGAGATACAGTCTGTTTATAAAATTGTAAAAGTAATTTAAATAGTTACCACAAAAGTCCTTTTTACTACTTTTAGTTATATTTGATCTTCTAACTTAAACTAAAGTATTTCTATTCATGTCATTTACATGTAAGTTGAAAAACTGACAACAACTTTTATAGACAATAAATTACTGATATGTCACTGGTACTGACAAAATAACTCATATGATGTACAGCAACTTTTCATTGATACAACAAACAAAAAACTGTAACAATAAGTTCATTTCTTGTAATTTAACATTCATATATTTAAATACTCTTATATGAATAAAAGTAACAAATGAATACAACTGTGACCTAAAATTCAAATTTCATTGATCATACAAAAAAGTCATAAACTATAACAAGAAATGTGATGCTTCTCTCTATGAGTTTCTCCATTTTTATCATCAGCACTATTTTTTACCTATTTCCATCTGTACCTCCAATCTGCCAGGTCTGATCAAAGCTTCATCTATCATATCTTTTCTGTTTGTCATACCTGGTTATTGTAGTATACATTTATATTACATTTATTACAATAGGCCTAGCATTGAATTATTTGAATTATTTGTTCATATTACATTTATTTTATTTCATTTATTTTAACATAGAATTGAAATATATGTTCATATAAGAGTGGTTGGGTCAATAGTCTGTGTAAACCAATGCTCAGCATAAACATGAGCCGCGTCATGACAAAACCAACATAATGGGTTTGCGACCAGCCAGTCTGATCAGGATCCATGCTGTTCCCTATCAGTTTCTCTACTTGAAATAGGGTTTGTAAGCGAACAGCATGGATCCTGATCAGAATGCGCAGGCTGGTCTGGATCCATGCTGGTCCCAAACGCACTATATTGGTTTTGTTGTGACGCGGCTCATATAATGATTTAAGGAACATCTCACAAAATAAAACAACATTTAACTTCTAGTTTACTATTCTTTATGATGCATGAATTCTTTATTGGTGTTATTAAATTATCACCACGGAATCCATTTAAAATTACACTTTCCCCAACATTTCTCTATTGGTGTTTTTCAAAGATACTGTACATACTTTTTCAGTATCGGTGTTTTTCATTTTAAAGTACCTATCTTTCTTTATACATTGTCTAAGAATAGAATAAATGGTAAAATTCATTCATTTTATATCTGAATAATTAAGTACTGCCTTTACCAATAACTAAAATGTTGTTGAGTTGTTCTACACCATCTATCTTGGCCAGCAGCTGGTTAACAACAGTATCATGTACCCCAGTATTACCAGACTGAAAATATACAAGAAATTTACATAATAGTAATAATAATAATAATAATAATAATAATAATAATAATAATAATAATAATAATAATAATAATAAATGATTTTAAAAATATTTGGTCAATTGATATAATGGATTTTTTTAAAAAGATGTATGGCTTAAATTTTTTCTCTAAGTTGTAGTGTCATTTATTGAGATCTACCATTCAAATGTTTCAATAAGTTTTGCCTTTCTTTTGTGAAAATGGTACTTCAAAGATACTGAAAGATCCCCTCACTTCACATATGATATTAATAGCTTACTTACCACAGATCCTCTTGCCTTGCAGATAGCATCAATCTCATCAAATATGATTATATGTAAACCACTTAAAGACCCACACTGAAATATAGACAAAACCATAAATATATTTATTTTTATGATAAGAATTTGGTACAATAATAGTAGTTAACATTCAGACATGCAGATAGATGGATTGGTGCAAAACAGACATAACTCCTTCATTATGTAATATGAGTTCCAAACCCTTGAGATAGACTGTCATAACAGATTTATAGAAAGAATTATACAAATATAACTTGCATGTTAGACTAGTGTTTCTCTTATTTTTACCCACACTAGAAATGTCACCTGACAATGTGGGGGTCGGGTGCTAGATGAAGCACATTATTTCGCACATTTTATAATAAATATGCCAGTACTCTCATGGCTGATATTCAAATCTGAAAGGCAACATGTGTTAGATATTATCTTTCGTCAATGGCAAGAAAGTTTCTTGGGTTTTGTTTATTTTAATCTCTAACTTAAATGAAGTCTGAGATGAGAAATCTGAGAATGCCCTTGACACTTATATCTCAACATTTATATCACAATAACACATTGATTTATTATTTTCTCTACAAAATTACGCCTGACAATTCTGATACCAGTTACCATATCTCCTGACATTATGTGGTGGAGAGAAACATATAACATTTACTATAATTGTATTAGAATGATGGTGGTTTCCAGACATGTTGTCCTCTTGGGGATATACTTGTTAAATCAATCCAATCATACTAAAATATCAACAATGAATTCTCTATGGTGGCTAAAACAATCTTAGGATCTTACATTGAACATTCCATCAAACACCACTACTATAGTGACTATACACATTCAAACGTTTGAGCACTACTAGCAATTAACATAGACTTTAATCAACAGTTGTAAAGCCCAGATTAAAGATAAAAAATGACTAAGAAACAAATATTTTTTCCTTCCAAGATGAGTTTCATACTGTGTAAATAATGGTTTTAGAACATGATAGATGCTTGTCACCTGAAGAAAGTAGCGATGGATGTGAAATTATTTGTCAAAAAATACCATAAAAAATGTAAACAAAATACATTCCATACAAAATACTAAACCACTTTAATTATACAAATTGCCAAAAATCAACAGGAGCAAAAGATATGGCCATGTAATTGGCCAATGAGTAATTTTTTTAAACATTAAAAGGACACCAAAATGAAAAGCTTTAGTGAAATAAAAGTGTCACATTTCTGAGGCATAAAGGGTCCTTAAATATTTTTAAAGACTCATGAAATATAAGCCCTGGAATCATTTTTATGTCTAAAAAACTTCTACTTTTGGTATTTTGTAACTGATACAAAGAAGTTACTTATTGGTCATATAGATGAAATACCTTTAGCTTCCTTTGCTTTTCAGCAATTGGTACATTGTATAATCATACAGATTTTGTACGGAAGTCAAAATACTCCTTTCTAACTTACTGCACTGAGGGGGGGAGTTAATAACTCTGCAACAGACGCCTGCTACAAGCTTTGGAACTTTTAATTTATTACACTTCAAACACCACTGTAAAGAGTAACTTACCCTTTTTTCCTCCTCCTCAGCATCAGCAAACAGTTTCCTGACATTAGCCTCTGACTCTCCTACATATTTGTCTAGAATCTGAGGACCATTTACAATCTTAGGCTCCCTGGCATTCAACATCTTTCCTATTTGCCTGTGAAACATACAAAATACTCATTCTTACAACATATTTTTTGTATATGTTGTCACATCAATTTTAGTTCAAATTTCTGTATGGAATTTTAAAGTATTTTTAGTTCTTTTTGAGACTGTTACTGTGTCCAAGTCCATTCCTTGGTGCTGATTTCTTCTTCTTTTTTTTTGAAAATTTCTTTCAAATACAACAGGCACAATTTTGTTCAGTGGCTGTAAGTCAGCACAAGTTGACAAAAGTAAATTGTCAATTTGTTAACTTTCTTTAAAAGCAAGCTGGATAGTTTCCAGATACTTTTCATGAAACAAGAGCTGTCTGTGGGATAGTGAACCCAACTATTCTTAGTGCTTGATTTTCTAATTTCAAAAAAGGCCATAAATTTGTCAAAATTCATGTTAGAGTTATGGGCCTTGGACAGTGACATCCTTTTATGCTCTTCAAGAAATATGTGAAGTTTCAACTTATTCCCTTTGTTAGTTTTGGAGATACCAACTTAGTATAATTAAATGTATATGCATTAAGCAATATAACTATTCTCACCTAGCCATCAAAGTTTTGCCAGTACCTGGAGGTCCAAACAACAGGATACCTTTCACATGCTTCATACCTATATAATAATATAATATTTATGTCTTTAAGTTGTTGTTGCAATAGCAAATTTTAAAACTTGAACTGAAGTTATATACAAATCAAAAGTCTCATATTGCAAAATGTTGTCAATAGATACAACGTGACCATGTGTGAAGAGTCAGATAAAGGCCCATTTTGTCCAAGAAATGCTACTTTTTTTATTTCTCAAAATCGTTTTTTATTTTTGGTGTCCTGTTATTGTTTCCAAAAAAAATATTTATTGACCCATTACTTATCTTCTCTATATTTTTAACAATTTAGTATAGTTATAGTGATTTAGATTTTGAATAGAATTCAAAATACTATTTTGTTTACATTTTTCTGCTTTTATAACAAATAATTTCATATTCAGCGATACTTTCTTTATGTATTAAGCATGTAACTTGCTCTAAAACCACTACTGAAACATTATAAAACTCATGTTTGCCCTTGCTAAAGAAGAAATGAAATTGTTTCTGAGGCATACTGTGCCTTAAATAGATATTTATAGAAACAGATGGGACAACTAAATATACCACTATCATTTCATTTATAGGTAAACAAGTCTGCTCAAGTTAGAATATGGCATAGTTTATAAGATGTTTAATTGTCAAGCAAAACATAAAAAAAATTCTTAACACAATTTTTCTCTCAAAGTAAAATTACCATATGAAAACTTCCATTTTAGGGAAGAAACATCACATTTCTTTGGTGATTTACTGAGCTTATACCTTTAAATAGAGACATTTAAAGAACTGAGATTGCAACGAGAATACATACCCAACTGCTCAACAACATCAGGGGGGAATACTCTGGAAGCAAAAGCTCGTCTAAATATAGCTGAGAATTCATTGTCAAGACCACCAATACCCATCTTGTTAAAATCCCAGTCTGGGTTGATAATTGACTGGTACGCTTGTTGTCTGAAACAAAATAGGAATATGTTAGAAGTTTCAATGTAAACATACCTTTTGCCACAGTCTGATGATTACAAAAATATTAATACATGTAAGTCCCAGTCTAGATACATAACGAACTGTTCAAGGCTGAACATATCTATATGTCAAAGTCAGACAATAAGTGAAACAGAAAATGGACAATTTTTTTTGCCCCCTAGATCAAGGTGACATTTGCCCATTCCTCTGTTTGGAAAGGGGAACATTTGCACACCGGAAATTTTGAAGCGCAGATAGCTGTCTGCCCTTTCAAACCATTTGAGGGGGCAAATGCCCACCACAGCAAAATAAGGGGGCAAATGTCAGAGGACAACATGAGACAGACAAAAGCTCATCTAGACAGAAGCCTTACCATCTAAAAATCTAAACAAGAGCCTTACTATTCATAAAATATAAGGTGGGCAAACGTCCTTTTATAAATTTTTAGAGGAAGCCCTCACATCAATTTTACAGGAGTGGCTGAGGTTTTCAGGTAAAAATTTTTTTGAGTGAGGGTTTTTAACAGGTAGTTTATTTTAAGAGAGAACTTTGGTTTTCTGGTTCCAATATCTTACCCTTTTGATCTGCCAGTAAGATTGATGGTTGCATTCTCAAACTTCTCAAATACAATTGTTGTGTTTCCAGTAAGCAGACCAATGTGAGACTGAAATAAAGAACATGTGTATTACTGATAAACCCTTTGAAGGCTTTTTACACAGTGTTGAGTTGTACTTTATATAAATGGATGCATGGTAACATCTATATGGCTTTATTTAAAGTGTGACAAATTCATTTGACATAATAATGGAAAAAGGCATTTTGTACTCTTGCATTAAAGGGATATTCAGGCAAAATAATGACAAAAATATTAAAATGATATTATGTACTCAAATGATGCTAAAATGACATTTCGTGTAGTTTCAGCATGAATTTCTGTTTAAATTCTAAATATTTTGGGTTTGAAGCGTAAATATATCTATATATGTTGAACAAAATTTAGACCCGAATAGAATCACCAAATAGTTTTAAAACAAGTCACATGACTTGAACAAACCCTTGAAGTTACAATAACAGATATTATGTATATTTTATGATTGAAACAAGTCTAAGTCATACATTTGACATGTTCTTTAACGTTTCCAGAGTTCACTTTGACAACTATTATGAAATCCTAGCGCTCTAACCTGACCCACGCGGGTCAAGTTAGGAAACCACCATTTTATTATTTATATGGAGAAAAGTTTTGTTCCTTTGACTGTCTAATATATACATTTTGAGGGCATTTACAGAATAATGACTGAAAAACTCAAAACTAAGAATTGAAAATTTTGCCTGTGTCTCCCTTTAAAGAACAACTACCAAAATACTTTACATGGGTAAAAGGAACATTCAACTTGCACAGTATAAAGCAATCTGTATCATAGGACTTTAATACTTTTTTTCTACACTACATTGAAAATTGATTACTTAAAGGCTATTCACATTTCTTAAATTGTGAATGCCACACTTACTCTTTTCTGCTTGCCTGTAGCTTTCTTCATGTCTGACAAATCCAGAACTGAAAAAAAATGTGACATTTACATAAATATTTTATTTCTTTTAAGTGTTATTAATAATTTATAGAGATTTAAAATTAAAATAAAAAATTGTTTGCTACTGGTTGCCCATAAGGGGGAGTTCAAATATTGCAATATGGATTGATTGTGTCATAATATATCACAATACAGGGTCGAAGGTCAAATTTCAGGTATATGATTGGTCAGAAACTAGTAAAGAATGTAAATTGACCAATGAAATCATAAGATCTGTGTTAGATCTCAGAATAACCTTTTATAACCTTGAGGGCTGGTTTGACTGTATTAGTGTACCCATTCTTGAAGTATATACAATTATATACTTGCCTGTAGTTTCAAATTTATTTGGGAAAGAAAAGAAAATACCCAAGTCTTGAAATGAAATATGTTTTTTGTTGTTTTGTTTTTTTTTGTAAATGAGGCATGCACAAAATCACTGATTAATGACTTAAACTTTATTGAAAATAGCATATAAAACATTTTTTTGTATTTTAAATACAATATTCATGTTTGTCAAATATATATTATAACTCTTTTCCAAATGTATCATAAGAATATGGTAAAAAAATATTTTAATTTTAATGTTTACATTTTAGATCAAGATTCAAATGCTTTCACATTGACTGGCGTAAAGAAATATTGTAACTTCAAACAACATTACCTTCTATGCTCTTAACAAAAACTGTCAACATTTTCTTCTCGGCAAACTGGAAGGCGAGGATCTGTTCCTCTGTGAATGCCTGGTTGGCAAATTGCATAGAAAACTCCATTGCCATCTTGTCCGTGTCAAAGGGCTCTGGTGTGGCACTGTAAATTTTGAAACATAAGCAATGTAAATATTATTTCTAATTAATATTTATAATTCTGTCCCTTAGATCTGATTTACAACTGCAATATTGACATAGAACTTGCCTGTAAATATTATTTTTTGTGCTCTATAAAGTATAAACTAAAAATGAAAATACATGTACAATATTTAATTTAATACAAACTCCTTGGCAAGTTTGAATACTACGACGGTGTGGGTGTTGTGAGTGAAATGGTTTTGTCATTACCCATAACCTTTAAGCCACAGAATTTGCTCAGAGACAAATATGCCCTTGGAACAATAATCATGTTCACAAAATGAAATGTTCTTAAATGAAGCATAAAGAAATAGTAATTTTAGATAAATTCTCAATGTTTTTTTTCTTCAAATTTTCAAAGATCACTCAATATATATATTACAAACTACTAAAATGTCCAAAACCAAAATGAAATAAACATACTTTTTCTTCTGTAAGAAATCCACCTGTACGACTATAGTGCCTATAGTTTGAACACGAGTGTTAAACTGGAATGGATTCACCTGTACTTCCTGGTGTAGGGATATCACTGCCCATTTCCTCTGAAAACATACAACAAACATATGAAATATCTTACATGCTTTTCTAACTTGTTCCTTGTCATAAACCACAGACACTTGGAGTGTGGAGCTCCAAATTCCTTAAAATCCAAATAAAATGTATATTTGTCAATCCTAGCAAATATACATGTACTTATCATACATGGTGTATGTCAAAAATCAGGATCCACTATGTCAATAAATTTGATTAATTGAGGAACAGTGACACCAGAATTTACAGGGAATTTTGGGACACCAATGTTTGGAGGAAAAACCAGAGTATTTCAGCCTGTGGGACCACCATTATATTTATCACTTTTACATCTGAAATCCTTTACACATCAACTCACTTCAAAATATGAAAATGAGTTTAGTTGAATTTTAATGCAAATATAGGTCCCTATCCTAGCACTTGTGATTCCATTATTGGGATTAGGTCAGAGGCCTGAAAATGTACAATCAATATAGTAAATTATTCTAACAACCATGACGGATATACTATTAAAAGATTAATAACACACCTAGGTCACATGACAAATGCTCATACCCATGAAGAAGCAAGTGAAAAACTCATAGCTACTTTAGTGACCCACTGGGATTAATGCCATTTATATGCTGCAGGATAAGTATTTTAGATTAGTCTTATAAGAAAATTTAATTCCGCTTTTTGCCTTTCAATATCACAACAAAGCACTTCATTGCAGATGACAAAATTGCTTTTATGAACACACCCACCAATCACTCATAAAATTTCTTAAAAAAATAAATTGTCTGTATGAAATTTTCCAATTCATAACATATTGATTCAAATTCACTGATGTACGCCACTAGTGACATAAAGTCTAGAAACTGTATAAATCTGTGCATAATTGATAGCCATTACCCACACTGTCTCCTCCTTCATCAATTTCATGCTCAATTATTGAGCTGTGTTAATAATATGTCAATAATCATTTGGGAATTTTCTCAATATGAGCCACATTGTAAACTATATTTAGCAACTTTTTGAACAGTATGTCTACAAAACGCAGAATTATAGAACTTGAGAATTACAGAACATAGCCTTTAGCTTAATGTCTGAACTTTTTTATGTCGCACAACATGGCTGTTTACCAGTTTTACATGTGTTAGAAGACTGAGCTAACATGCAGCAAACTTACCAATGAACTATTAAGCTTTTAACTCACAAGATTATTTTCCAGGGGCTCTAGAAATTTTACAGTTAGGGTTTTAGTTAAACAGACAATGTACTGGTCACATGGCTACTTCCAGCTTTACCAGCCGATAAAGATTTCAAGTATCACTATTATTTTAGATAGAATCATTGCATCCAAGAAGAACCATCAACCATCCATAAGCAAGAAAGAAAGCATCCTTGCATTAATATATTATAAAGCCCTATAGTGTTGTAGTGCTAATGATTTGAGGCCAGCATCGTGTATCAATAAGAGGCGGTAGCTCTTCTCGTTATTTTGTATAAATAAAATTAAGATTTACAAGTACCTGCATCAGGTTAAAGCCAAGAGTCCCCTTCGCCATGCTAGGATGTCTGGTGGTCGTAAACAGAAACTTTGTGTGCGGGGATGTGTAGATTTCAACATGTCTGAAATTTAAGATTCATTGTAAAATATAAGTTTTTAACCCTGTAAGTGTTGACATAGGCACAAAGGCTCACCAACTTTCCAACCCCCACCCCCTCACCCCCAGGCAAGCTGGCATATATGTACAGCATGACAAGATTTTATACTGTTTGGCAGCTACAAGGGATTTTGTCCCTCGATGGACTTTTACAGTTTTGAGCTTAGAAAACTTAAGCCTCCTTGAGTGAGGTCTGGATTGGGTTTTTTTTATAGCTAGTCAGCTAAATTGCATAAATGATAAAACTGTAACCACTGGACTGGAAATGGGGCTTGGCCTTTTAGTCATTATGAATAAAATATTTTGCAAATATAATATACCCTGAATATTTTTAAGTCATTTAAACTTCACCCTTAACCGTCTGGGACCAATAGTTATAAACTGTGCGACCAAAATAGACCCAGGCCAGCCTGCCATTCTGTGTAGACTGACCAGGCCCTATTCTGTTGGCATATTTATTTTTGTAAATCCCTTAATTTTCAAATGGACTATTGTAAATTCAGAGCAGGTAAATTCCACAGGTTAAGGGTAAGTAAAATCAATCCACTAATTACATGTCACATGACTTATGAATATACATTTTTAACAAGTAGAATGAATATAAAAAGTTTACAGCCTTAATTTTCAGGTCAAATTACTGAATTTAATACATTCTCTTTACAACATCAGGTCAAATATAATTACAAGTCATTAGTTGTGTGCTAGAGCCATTTCATATTCCAAATCATTAATTTAAATCAGTGAAAACAAATCTTTTTTTTTTTTCATTAAAAAATTGTTTTAACAATAAACTTTTGAAAAAAAAAGGAAAACAGTTAGAATTAAAACCTTAAAGATTTCCTTAAATTGCAAAATTGAAAATGTTGCAGGCTTGATTTTACTGTAAGACTGTTTAATGTACATGTAAATCATAACTCTCATCAGAAAAAAAATTAATGATACTGCTACTTTTTTATGAAATTCAAATAAATTAATCATTTAGAAAAATGTTATTGAAATACAGATAAAAAATATTACAAAAATTAAAACATAAATTATACTGAAAATTATCAAAATAACAATATTTCACAATATAATATTTATATTGATATAGTGTAAAAGCTTTTTAAACAATTAATTTCAACAGCATAACATACATACATGTACATGAGGAAGTTACGAATTTCAAGTGGTGGTCAGATAATGTCTAGACACCAAAAACTTTGTAACATTTTTGTATACAATAGAACATAAAATTTGATAAAATACTTACTGTACAGTTTCTGGGTAGTCTCCTGGATTTACAACAACACAGTTTGTCAATGACAGCTCATCTGTCGGACATTTCGAGGCCTTTGCCCTTATCATTTTCTACAAAGGAAAAAATATTGACAATGTTTCAAGGGTAAATTTTGTAATCATTTTAATGGTTAATTTACTAAACTGCAGCATAAATATTGTTCTTTATGTCTTATGTATGGATGGAAAAAAATGTAGATATCTTTATTGCAAAACAGAATTCCAAAATATGAAAACTATGTCAATACATTTGCATACTAAATAAAATCAATTTACTGAGGATATCATTACTTTATCTTATTATTGAATAAAATCAAATTTAATATTACATAAACAATCAAATTTAGTAAGAACCAATGAAAATACTTTCATTCATGCTTAAACTCGACTGACTGGTCAATTTTTTAAAACTTTACTGATAGGACATGTGCTACATTACAGTTCCCACAATATTTGGACTTTCTGCTTTGTCACTGTGGACAATATAAAGCGTGACAATAATTGCAGACAAGTTATAAAAATCTCAACCGTGGGAAGCAGAAAATCACAGACATTAGCCTTGATCAAATTCATAAATTATACAATATCCATATGGCTTTTAAATTAATGGGATTCGAAAGTACCAACTATCTTCATGTCACTGTAACCATCAACTTGTAAAAAAAATTGCGCAGATTTTGGAAAGTTTAGAACAGCTGAAGTTTAGTAGTATTAAGATTATTTAAATTTTTTAACATAAATTAGAATGCATTTTTGCATCCACAAAAATCAAGAGTTTTAGTAGTAACAAAATAATTTAATCTTGTCAGCAAAAACATGATGAAGTGATGTACATCAAAGAATATTAATTGGATGACTTTGATGATGACTTTTATATTAACATAAGTTTTTGACTAACAAAGTAGTATTGCTATGATCATTTTTTTGAAAAACTTGGTTGTTTTTTCCTTCAAAAATTATTTTTCTTTATTGTACAAAATAAACTGACATCTGAATTTTTATATTAATTTGAAATTTAATCATAAACACAAACAAATACAATAAACTACTTACTACTTCTTGTATATCCAATTCTCTTTTTATATCAATTTCATGCAGTATTACCCAATCATCTTCATCAATCTGCAAATAAAAATTTAGTACCTTATTGACCAAAAATACAAAGTTTTTTCATTCATTTTTCTTATTTAGTTCTAAGGGGAATAAGCCACACCAATATATGGTGAACATAATATGTAATATTCAAGAAAATCAAAAATTGGCTGCAGAACTCTTGGGTGACTGTTGAGCAAAAACTCAGCAAAGTCACATTTCCACTTTTTAACAAACAATTTCCCTTAAACCAGGTATCCCTTTGTGCACAGGCAGCCAATTTAAGATTCTTGTTCTAATTAAAAAATTCAGCCATAAAACACTCTTGAAAAACATAAATAATATTTTTTCAGAAACTTTAACAAACAAAAAATTGAAAAAAAAAAACAACAACAGAGATACCTTTGATGCTAAAACTTCAATAAATACTCTTGAAAACCAAAAACAATTTATTTGACAACCATTCAAAAATATACAAAAATTTGACACCAGAAAGTCCCATCATAAAAGAAATCAGTCAATTAGATTAGGAAAACCAATACTTTAACGATTCAATGCAACACTGACATATCTTCATACCATAAAATACCAAGTTTGAACAGTTTGAACACTTAACTTTGATTAATTTATTCTATATGATTAAAGGAATGTATATAAGAATTCCAATAAATCCTTGATTTATACCAAGAACCCTTGATCATTTACCTTCCTTGTTTGAAAAAGTCCTTACTAAGCATATTATAAAGGTGATATGATATCTAAATGACCCAATGATTTTATCTCTTGATGATTTACACAGTAGTGTCAGATAAGTTGATATACCGTATAATTCCTATTAAATGCCCCCGGGGGCTAAACATTTTCCAAAAGGGGAGCCATTATTACAACACGTTTTTTCCTAAATCCAAAAATCATTGAAGTTAACAAGTGTTGGTAATAACATTAAAATGTGTTAAAATTAAAAGTTCATGTGATACATTTTTGTGTTTACTATGAAATAAAATGGATTCTGAAAGATTTGAATAAAACTATAGATTTATTCAAGAGTTCACCACTGATGAGCAGATTTTTTTCCATATCAAATAGCCTGGGGGGGGGGACTTTTATTAGAGCAGGGGTTTTTATTAGGAATTTTACGGTATATATCACAGCTATATTAATATATACAGCTTAGTTTTAAAAGAATGTCACAAAATGATTTTTTTCACAATGGGCGGTAATAAGAAATTTTACTTTAAAGGGAGATTATAAAAACACTTCTTAAATCTTAATTATATAATTTTTATATTTATTTATTGGCTAAATAATGCTAAATTTGATAACAAATATGGTAACTGATATTTTCAAAGTATAATAAAATAAAAACTAGATGGTAACAATAATGTAGCTTGTGCGGCTAATGTTATCTGAATCGGCTTAACAAAAAATAATAGGAAAACATGTTTCTTCAGGAGGATTAATTTTCCTTATTTCTAAACAAGAGCCAATATTATGTTTTTGTTTTTGTTTAGAATTAATAAATTTTGTTAAAATCTTGCACACAGGACTGGTGTCCTTTAAGGAATGCAGCACAACTGTGTTGTTATTTTTAAGTTCCTGATATGAGACCAATCCTTAAAATTGTTTTAATCAAAGCATAAATTATAAAGGATATATAAAGGATATAATTGAATGAGAGTAGGTCCAAAACTGCATTTATTGAACAAGTTGAATAAAATTTTATTTCAGCAAATTCAATAAACATTTTATTCAATGAGTTCAATAATTTCAGTAATGAAGCTACACGTATATAATTTTCTATTAACTAATTACCAAAACTAAGAACTGTTAAGTAACTGTACAGTAAAAAAAAATATCACATTTTCATTGATGCACTTATAGTATTAACATTTACTACAGCTTCCACTATTTTTGGATAAGGCAAATGATATTGCAACAAACAATATGCACTGCCATGCAATACCATTTTAACGAAGTCACAAATGTGGCACGAGATGTGATAAATATACTTCTACTGTTTGCTACAAAGTAAAACAACACCAACAACCATACTTTGTTTAAAAAAAATATATGCAAACACTTCCCGATAATACGACACACATAACGCCAATAATTATACACATAAAAAAGCACAAACCAAACAATGTAGTTTCCTTGTCCAGACACTAAAAAACAAATATTGTATTCAATAACAACAGTCCTGTACCATCAAACACACAAAAACTACCAGAATATATAATTCTGCTAAAATAATTCTCCAGAGTTTTGCACTTGTTTGTATTGATTTATTGAAAGAAACAACAGAAATGCTGGGAGAAAATCGAGACAGTGGTAAACATCTATTGATTGTCACGACCATAATGGCTGGGAAAGACGTATTGGAAAATTATACTCTCCCCTTTTACCAATGTCAGGATCTCTCTCCCTTGGAAAATTATATGTTTTCCGAACAGCGTCTATGAAAGCAATCATGAGTTTAATATCTTGCTATTATCAATATACATGTATCCTTACCAAATCTATAAATAGAATGAATACCACAAACCAAAAACTTATACTGTTATACATTGTACTTGGCAAATAACAGGACTTAGATGAAATGAAATTTGACAACTACATTTTTGGATGGTCTTGAAAAATATTTTATCGTAGATCCAACTTGGCTTTTCCGCTCTCTCTTAAATTCAATACATTGGCTCAATACAGCCTTAATGCATTATTGTATATCTACAGTCTTAATTCAAATTTCCCTACGATATTACACTTCATGTAATTTACTCAGAATGAGATGATAAATTTGATTGGTTCATATCTAACATTGTAATTTATGTCATTTGATCAAAGATTCCTGGGTATCTTTATGGGATTTGATAAGCAAGTCTAAAGGATTGATTTTGCAAGACAAATGAAACAATTGTATCATAGTTTGGAAACCATTCTATAGAATATGTGTCACAGTTAAATCATATACCAATTAATGCAAAGTGAGTTAATCGGAGTGCACTGTATAAAATATGAATATTACAAAACTAAGGAGCGATATCCTTTAAAGAATACAAGTTTACTGTATGTAGTAAATTAAAGGTATCAGATTGCTACATAATTATATTCATTGTTATACAAACAAGAGCTGTCAGTAAAACAGCATGCTTGACTATTCTCAGTGCTTGGCAGTAAAACATGTAGGATTTTCTAAGTTCAAAAAGGGCTATAATTCTATCAAAACCCATGTTACAGTTATGGGCCTTGGAAAGATACCTTCAATTATGCTCTCAAAATTAATAAGTGTGTGAAGTTTCAACCCATTCCCTGCAATAGTTTTTAAGATACCAACTTGCATGAAAAACCCTATAACCAAAGTGTGACACTGTCGGTGAGTACAAAAGCACTCCCTATTCTTTGAAAAGTCAAGCTAAAAATGAAATATTGGGGGGAAAATCCTCAAAGCAAACTGTCTATCCTGCTTAAAACACTATTAAAGGATTGACTAGGCAGATTAACAGGCTTTATATGATGCTTTATTGGATTTTACCACTAAACATTTCATGAACTGTTGCAGAAACACTATGCAATGAATATGTTATTCAATCAATATCCAGTTCTTCTAGGGTAAAAAATTCACATCTCCATCAAAAGTTAATTCATTCTCAATATCATGAATTTTAGCTTTAAACTGTGAGAACCAAAAAGTTATTAGCCTTTGGCACAAGCACTTCCATGTTGTCTGACCAAGCTCTATACTGGTAGCTCAATTTTGTACCCTAAAAGACATTAACATATGCCAATTCACTAACAAGAGCACCGCTAGGCAGAGCATTATATGCCCGAAAGTGCTTTTTTTTAGTAAGGATGAAGCATTTGTAAGACATTACATAAATAAAATAAAGTTTTACCTCCTTCAAATAGCAATCCTCCAATGAACTAAATATTGTGGGCCAATAGCAATCCTCCAATGAACTAAATATTGTGGGCCAAATGGAACTTAAGTTATACTCTGGAAACTGTTTTCAGTTTTGAGGTACTTAAGCCACCTTGAACTTTGACCTTGTCCCCCAAAATCAATAGGGGTCTTCTACCCAATATGGACAATCATCCTATGAAGTTTGAACACTTAGGGCCAAATAGAAATTAATTTGTGTTCTGGAAACTGTTTTCTATTTCCAAGTTATATTGACCTTGACCTCTAATTTTTGTGACCCAAAAATCAATAGGGGTATTCTACCCAATATGGACACTCATCCTATGAAGTTTGAATATTGTTGGCCAAATAGACCTTAAGTTATGCTCGGGAAACTGTTTTCAGTTTTAAGGTAAAAGTGACCTTTGATCTTGTAACCCCAAAATCAATAGAGGTCTTCCACCTAATATGGACGATCATCCTATGAAGTTTGAATATTGTGGGCCATACGAAACTTAAGTTATGCTCCGGAAACCAAATTGCTAACGGACGGACAGACGGACGTACTCACAAAATGGTACTTATGTGAAGTAATAATGACCTTGACCTTTGACTTTGTGACCCTAAAATCGATAGGGGTCTTCTACCAAATATGGACAATCATCCTATGAGGTTTGAACAATGTGGGCCAAACAGAACTCAAGTTATGCTCCGGAAACTGTTTTCAGTTTTAAGGTGATAGTGACCTTGACCTTGTGACCCCAAAATCAAAAGGGGTCTTTTACCCAATATGGACAATCATCCTATGAAGCTTCAATATTGTGGGCCAAATGGAACTTAAATTATGCTCCAAAAACCAAATTGCTAACGGACGGACGGACAGACGTACTCACAAAATGGTACTTAATTGACTTTTCCTTTGATCTTTTTGGCCATTTTTAGTCACACAAGGCATAAAAAAGACACACAAGTAAAAACGGAATGAATAGGATCAAAGAGAATTTACTGTTACCCAATGTTCTCCCAAGTCACACAAGTACCTCTGGGTTCGTACGGACAGACAGACGGACGGACGGACACCAGGGTGTATAACATAATATGCCCGAAATTCTTTCGGGCATATAAAGAAAAAATTTTTGAATAACTTTTCCAGATCCTAGACTTACCAAGCACATCAATATATTCTTTTGTGGTTTTTAAAGTCACAAATTCTTATTTAAATTTATTATCAAGTTATCAACACAATCATTCATGGTATGAAAACTTCCATTATGCACCAATTCACTATAAAAGCCTTTTTTTTTAACTTCCTCATGATTAACTTTTCAAGCTTTAACTTTATTAAAAATTTTAACTTTTATTAATAAGGAAATTTACAGCTGATATCAGATCATTTGGAATAAATTTAAGACAGCAAGCATTGGAAAATAGGTCATATACTTAGATTTATAAAGAAGAATGTAATTCAAAACAGACTTCAACATTTGATTAATATGTTCTATTAAACATTCAGTATCATCTATGGTACCATAGTAACTGGAGCTTACTCTGACAGCTATCGTAACTAATTTACTTACAACATATTCCAGAGACACCAAGACAATTAATACAGGGAAGTCAAAGGTTTGACTTGCAAGCCATTGACTGCATGTTAATAATTTAAACAGGGATGCCAACAGACAATTTGAAACAAGATTGCATTTGAGAAAATGCTATGCCACCGCATTAATACAACACTCAATAGAAGTGTAGGAACAAATACTGTTGAAGAACGGGTCTTTTATTAACTTTGTATATTATTGTCTGGATGAGTCGGTACCAATGCAAAACCAACGTATTACTATAAACTGCTAGCATTCCCTTGCAGAAAGATAAGCAGACGACAGCCTAAATTTCATGACTACATCAAAGGACAACACAGTAAGACACTTTGTAAAAATCTAGGTCAGCTGATATCAAAGTTCACTTTACATCTTAATCTGTGCACATGGTTCAAATTTCATAGCTGTACATCAAAAGACAAGAAAGTAAGTCACATAATCAAAATCTAGGTCACTTGATATAAAAGTTCAGTTTTACAACTAAAACTGTGCACATGGTCAAAATTTCATTACTGTACATCAAAGGACAAGAAAGTAGGTCACTGTCCCCTTGGGCAAGGCAAAATTTTGACCCAAGGGTTTAATTCAAAACAATCTTGATACAGGTCCACCAAACAACATTTCAAGTCATAAATTTAAGCTGTAGCTTTCTCCCATTCAGAAAACATTTGTTTTATTTTCTGTTTTTATTATGTGATATAATGAAAATCACTGCCCCAGGCAGGGCCGATTTTGACACCAGGGGAAAATTTTGAACAACTTGGGTAGAGGACCTACAGATGATATTATATAGCAAACATCAAAGCTCTATGCCTTGTACCTTCAGACAAAAATAGTTTTTATTTTGTTTTTACTATATGTACATAATGAAAATCAATGAACCCGGGGCGGAACCAATTTTGACCCCAGGGCTATAATTTGAACAATCTAAGTAGAGGTTCACTTCCCAAAGTCTCATGTCATAAACTTAACCTCTAGCCTTTGTCAATTCAGAGAAGTAGATTTTTTCAAGTTTTTACTTTATACATATAAGGAAAACTATCGCCTCTAGGGCAGGGCAATTTTTCACTAGGGGCATAATTAAAACAACTTTAGTAGAGAACCCATAGATGATATTATGTACCAAAATCAAACCTCTAAGCCTTGTACCTTCAGACAAGAAGATTTTTTAATTTTTTACTATATGTACATAGTGAAAATCAAATACCCCTGGGGGTGGGGCCAATTTTGACACCAGGACTATAATTTGTACAATCTTGCTAGAGGTTCAATACTTAATGTTTCATGCAAAATATCTTAACTCTAGCCTTTGTTAATTTAGAGAAGATGATTTTTTAAGTTTTTACTATACACATATAAGGAAAACCTATGGCCCCCGGGGCGGGGCTAATTTTGACACAAGAGGCAAAATTTCAACAACTTTGGTAGAGTACCTATAGATGATATCATTTAACAAATATTAAAGCTCTAAACCTTGTACCTTCAAACAATAAGATTTTTTGATTTTTTACTATATGTATATATTGGAAATCAATGACCCCCGTGGCATGGGCAATTTTGACCCCAGGGCTATAATTTGAAAAATCTTGCTAGAGGTTCACTATACAATGTTTCATGCAAAATATCTAACCTCTAGCATTTGTCAATTGCTAGAAGAAATTTTTTTAAAGTTTTTACTGTAAGTTTTTACAATATACATATAAGAAAACCAATGACCCCCGGGGCGGGCCCTATTTTGACCCCAAGGCTATAATTTGAACAATCTTGCTAGAGGTTCAATACA